GGGAATGACAGGTAGTAATCATCTCCATGATACTTAGTCTGTCATTGGCCACTACACTCATTTACAATAAAAACTATAGGATCCATTGAACAATATGTAAACCTATTGCACAACATGTCACTACAATACATGCCATAATTAGCGTGGGTGTCTCATTGCATTCAGATGAGCTTTTTCTCGCGCGTGTGTCCACGCATACTGTCTGCTACTTTACAACACCGCTTTTCATGTACCTCACAAACTGTGGCCGTCAATAGCCATTTTAGCTCTGAGAAGAGAACACCTTTACATCGTTTATATTTTATTGAAGCACTACACGAAACATTGGGGTATGTAGGATGAAGACCAATCAAGCTTCGAGACATTTCCAGTGAAAGCCCTTTCTTTTAAAAATAGATATAGTAAGTTTTCATTGTAAACGTGATATAAAAAAAGGAAAAAAAGCTGAGCTGCTGAACTGTCACACAGCCACAAATAGCAGCGCTGCACTTCCACATAGGTGAAAATGATCTGCTTTGACATTTCAGTCAGATGTGAGCGGTGAAGAGTCTACACTGATGTTCAGAGGAAGTATTTCCTCTCTAGCCGATGGCAACAAGTGATGTCCACTGACTGCAGTGCATACAATACTGCAGATGTGCTGGTCTCCATTTACTAATAATTGCAATAGCAAATGTAATTTGTAAAAAAACAACAACATAATGCTGCCTTAATTATATTTTTTAAAAACATGATGAGGAAACTAAAGCAATTTATTTATGGTAATATTTTAGCGACTCAGCACTTGGTCAGAGGATAAATCTGATGTTAATCTATATTTTGTTTATTGCCAATAAAATTCCATGAAAACACTGAAACCAAGACTGTGTCTCTGAATACTCTCAGACTGCCCCAGCTTGTATATTGGCACTCTGAGTGAATTGGGTACTATCAATTGGCCACTGAAGATGTAAATCTTTAAAAATAATTGAAGTTCCTCCGTTAAATAAGAACTGAAAAAAAAACAAACAAACTGTTGATTACTGTAGTTCTTTCACAAAGTTTACTGTTACTGTAACATTACTGTTTGGGACTATTTCCATCTGATTAATATTTGAGCACCACACCTTAGGGTCTGGGCAACTGGGATTTTTCCCTGTTTTCTGACATAGACTAAACGATTGATTAATAGAATAAGTATTGGATAGACAATAGAAATAATAATTACATGTGGTAGTCTTTAGGGTTGAAGCTGATATTTCAATTACATATATTCTCAATTCCTTAACAGATTATTCCTAAAACCAGCTCTATATGTTTGTCAGTTTGCAGATAGCTTTTTAACAGCCTTCAGCCGATCATCAGGGGAGATAAAACCTCCTTTCTTTGACTGAGACACACATGTTATCTCTTAAACATCTTTCACGTGGCTCCTCCATTTCATTCCTCAGGTGGGTTTAGTATCATGTCTTTCACTTGGTTTCACACAGGCAGTCTATTTCATGGCCAGAGCAGGTGGTCCCATAATTTCTACGCCTGCCTGATGCACACTGGCAGGCTCAGTAACAGAGCGGCAAAATTCAAGACGCCACCCACTCACTGGCTCGAGCACAGACGACGAGAACATAGTGTCGATGTCAGAGTGCGTCCATCTTTGTCTGTCAATTTACCGGGCTGCGTTATCTGACTCTCCCAGCACCAGCTATAAAAGCCCGGCACTTTCGCTTGACTTTAATGCCGCTAATGCCGTTTAATCACTCAGCCATTCATCACAGTATGTCCTAAATTACTATCAGCTTCATTTGGCATTGCATCATCCCAGCCAGTGCCCATTACCGTTGCAGCAAATGAGGAAAGATAATGTGTTTTGTTCAAAAGGCGGATGGAGAAGCTTCCCCGAGTTTGGTCGCAGACTATGTAGTAGCAGCGGTGACAGTTGCTCTGTGTGTATATAATCAATACGGATCATGCATCTGATAGACCCCAGGGATTTGACCTGGTTTTTTCATGTGGAAGTGGCTCACACACACACACACGGATACACATCCATGAAGTTCAGAGGGAGCGAACAGGCTAAATGGAGGTTTCAGGCCGAATGATGGATTGGATTGAAGGAAAGGGAAGAATGCAGTGCTGTGTGAAAAAAAAAGGAAAATAGGCCACATTGAAGAAATCAGTTGTTTTCTCCGTGACACTGTAACATTTCCACAGAGAAATGAATAAAAAGGGGAAGAAACACAGAGACGGACAGAGAGAGGGAGATAAAAGAGTTGTGACTTTGCTCTAATTCCAGTCCAGTCATCCCCGGGGCGGCCGGGGATTCACATTCCACTGACCAGGGTCCATCGGCCCTGACAGGGTGAAGCCAATCAGCGCTTACACAGGAGGACAATCACTGGAATGTCACAGCGGGATCCTACTCTCCCCTGAAACAAAGTTCGGGCTCCCACAGCGAACCCAGCCAGGCCATGCCTCACTGACCTACTACAGGCTGCAAGAGTTTTTAATTCACAACTATATCACTCCGAGTGTGTGTGTGTGGAGTTTTCCTGTATTGGAGAAGCTGCACTCTCTTCCTCTCACATTTTAACTGAAAAAAACTCAACTCAATTTTAACCTAGCCAAAGAGTCTAGATGATTTGTAAAGATGGACGATTGCCGTACAACAGCACAATGTAAAAATGATAAGGTTTCCTCACTTAAAATAAATGAATAAACATAATTTGCATAGATAGTTGCAGTTATAAATAGAAACAAGGACATCTTGAAACAACACACAGTTCTGCAAACAGTTTCGAAACGGGTTTCTTTGAAACTGAGGATGCATTTCATCACAATGCATGTAATTTCAAGAGCTATTTCAATACGTACTTCTACTTTACTGTTCCTTTA